TTGAGCCACAGCGCCACTTCTGGCTTTTTTCTTTTTGCTTATGTGGTGCTGAGGAATCGAACCCAGGGCCTCGAGCATGCAAGGCAAGCACTCTACCACTGAGCCAACTTCCCAGCCCCTGTGATTTAATCTTGTGGCCTTGTGTTTGCCTAATACTCTTACCACTTGAACCATGTTCCAGCCCTTTTTGCTTTAGTGAGGCTTTTGTAACAGCTGAGATCTCCAGCAGGACTCAGGAAGGTCCTGTGTGCTATGGCCTTGTCTGCCTCTGTTTTCCCTGGCCATATCTCTTTGCTGGGCCTAGTGGAACCACTCTGCTACCTTTGGTGTTCAGACATTGCCAAATATTTGCACCCAGGGTCTTAGTATTGCTGTTTCCATAGCTTGCCACACTTCATTTCAGACTGTCCAGGTTTCCTAATCCCAGAGATCCTTCTCAGTGTTGGATGTAGTCCCTTCCTTGTTAGCATTTTGTTTTCCTTTTGTTGACAATGGGACCATGTGTTTTCTTTTGTTTGCCCTCACTGAAATGTAGTTGCATGAGCGTATTGTCACTGTTTTTGTCCTTCCTGTATTTTCTGTTCCTAGAATCTGGCATATTGTATAAGTTGGACTTTAAAAAGGAGCAGCCATTTGAAAATCACTAGAGAGAAATTCTGCCTTTGTGTTAGTGTTGGCTTCTCTTAGTTGATTTGTGTTTGTTGTCCTTAAAAATAAATGCCAACTTAAATCTTTTTTTTAATGTAAACATAAAACTAGAGCTTTAACTTAATTAAGTTAAAGATATGTGTTGTTTCCAGATGACTTGGATTCTGCATGTTGGTAATTTCAAAACCATAACTCTTAGAACTATAGGAAAGAATATGGTTGAAATAATATGTAAGCCATTGCATGTACATTTTAATCTGAAAGTGTTCTTGTTGTCCATCTCTTAAGTGGGAGCAGGTGAGGTGGCCAACTTCGCTGCATATGCATTTGCACCAGCCACACTAGTGACTCCGCTAGGAGCTCTCAGCGTCCTTGTAAGGTAAGAATGTGGCTTCATCTGTAAGTAGTATTTTAGTAAGTGAAATAGTGCTTGTCACATTTCTTTAGTGTATATTTGAGCACCCTTGAGGACTTTTGTTTTTAATACTATGTAGTAATTTGTTTTTTCAAAGTCACCCTCTGTATAGGGAAAGCTACTGAAGAATGGGCAAAATGAGTTTATACTTTGACCTGTATTCAGAGCCAGCATTAGTGATTCAAGTTTGGAAAACTCAAAAGTTGCCCTTGTCCAACATTTATCATGCAGTGCATTTGGACTTTGATAGCTCATGGTTGGTGATAAATAGATTTCTGTACCTGCTACAGAAAGTTGTTGACTGATAGGAGCTTATGTGCCTCTGAAGACTGACCTAAGGTTAGGCTAACCATTGAAGTTTGGATTTTGATTACTATTCTGATTGTTGATTATAGTTAGATATTTTTATTCTCACCCACAAGAAACTGTGTAAAATAGACAAATTAATAATTAAATGTCCCATTGCCCTTCATTCTTATCTCTATAAATAACATAAAATAATTATGAGCAGATTATATACACGTGAATGTCCATATAAATAGAATGTACCACCACTAGGAATAAGATTGAGCAAATTTGAGACCTTGCTTTGGATATAGATTTTTTTAATGAGGACCTGAGTTGCACAAACTAGATTTTTACTTTGTAAATTTCTCACAGATTTCTTGTTGCTTGGGAGGTCGTTTTGAGAATTGTTCCTGAACTCTTAGGTGACTACAGGATAGATGGGTCGGAGCAAAGACGACAGATGCAGAATGGCGGTAGAGACGACGCGTGCCAACGCAAGTGAGGAGTTGAGCAGAACCAGTCTCAGAGTCCTTGTTACATATAGTTGTATGATTCAGTGTATATTTTCTTTGGCTGAAAGCCAGAATCTTCAAGAGCTCAGTGTTTTAGTGAGTTCAGTAATATAAGTTGTGAGTTTGTTACTTTTTAAAATGAGAACAGTAAAAAAACTAAAATGAAAGCAGTAGCTGATTATTTTTAAATTCTCAACCCTTTTCTCCCTTCTCATTTTAGTGCCATTCTTTCTTCATATTTTCTAAATGAAAGACTTAATCTTCATGGGAAAATTGGGTGTTTGCTAAGCATTTTGGGATCTACAGTAATGGTCATCCATGCTCCAAAAGAAGAAGAGATTGAGACCTTGAATGAAATGTCACATAAGTTGGGTGATCCTGGTAAGAAGAAAGAAAAGCTTCATTTGTTGTATATGTACACATAAAGAGACCCAAGTTTCCTACATAGCTTATGAAAAATAGTAGTGTTTGCTTGCTTTTTTTTTTCCCCCAATGTTGAGACTTGAACGCTAGGCCTCAGTTTTTTAGTTCAGGCTAGCACTCTACCACTTGAGTCATACTTCCTGTTCTGGTTTTTTGGTGATTAGTTGAGAGTCTCACAGACTTTCTGCCCTGGCTGGCTTTGAACTGTGATCCTTAGATCTCAGCCTCATGAGTAGCTAGGGGATTACAGATGTGAGCCACTGGCACACAGCAGATTCTTAGTTAAAGTCTTTATTATTATTTTTAATGGTACTGGTGCTTCAACTCCTGGCCTAGTGTTTGCTAGGCAAAGTGTTCCACCACTTGAGCCACAGCCTCAGACCGTTTATAAGCAGATGTTGTTTTTTGGATAGGGCCTTGTGTTTTTGCATGGGGTTAGCCTCATACTGTGATCCTTCTACCCATCCTTTTATATAAAAGGCCTTCTAGGCACATACCACCACGCTTAGCATGTTGGTTTAGAAGAGGGTCTTGGCTGTGTTTTTGCTAAGGCTGGACTTGAAAGATCTCTGCCTCTTGAGTAGCTGAGATTATAGGTGTGGTCAACTACCTCTGACAGTATCAAGATTCTTTGTAGGCCTGTTTCCATGATCTGTTGTTTTTTAATTTTGTTTTTTAGGCATTTAAACTTTGTCATTTGGCAGTTTTGATGGAATGAAAACATAAGATACTGATTCTAAGTGGTATTTTGGTTTTTTTCATAGTACTGGTGTTTAAACTAAGAGCTCCATATTTGCAAGTATTGCAGGTATTCTACCACTTGAGCCATACCTTCAACCATTTTCACTTTAATTATGTTTCCATTAGAGTCTTGCTAACTTTTTGCCCAGGTTGGCTTTGAACTGTAATCCTTGCCTAACCCTGAGTGGTTTTTTTCTTCAGAGAGAACTGAAATTTCTTCTGACAGGCACATAAGAGAACAGCAGGTCACCTTCACCTTGACGATGTTCAGCTTCTTTAGATCTGGTTTGGTTCCAGTTTACCTTTATTCCTGTTCATTGCCTCTGGCTCTCAGCTGATAACTTTCAGAATCAACTTGGGCCTCTCACTTGGGATCTGTGAACTCACGTGTCTGCTCCTATCAGAAGATGGTGAAATCTGCTCAGCCCTATGGCCACCTGTGATCTTGGCTCTGCAGCTTCTGTGTTCACAAATGCTATAAGGAGAGATTTGGAGTCACTACTCTAGTTTTCTTTTGGGGATCTTGGTCTACTAAGTCTTACCTACTGAGCCACCCCACCTAGTCCATTGAAATGACCATTAGTCTTTATGCCCATGCCTTCTGTTGCTGGGGCAGTTGTCCTGAGATGAGTGTTGAGCTGTTAATCTCTTTTCTTCAAATTTTGGCCCCCTTAAGAGTTGGATGCTTTGATTGTTCTTTACTGCCCTTAAATAAAGTTTTAATATTAGTTTGTTATGGGAGCTCTCTGTTTTGTTTTTATAATTTATACATTCTTTAAAGTTGTTTTAGAGTTCGTGGTTAGCCTGGTATTTATTGTCTCAGGCTGTTAATGGTAGTTTTTTGTTTTTTTGAGGATGGTAGTTGATACATTTTGAACTTTCCCTCTGTTTACTGGAGGGAGTTCAGGCTCTTTTTCTGTTTGGGCTTTTCTAGGTGTTCTTTGACTTTCTGATTTTTAAAAAGTCTAGGTAGCCAGGCACTGGTGTCTTGTACCTATAATCCTATCTACTCAGGAGGCTGAGATCTTATGTTCAAAACCTAGCCCAGACCAGAAAATCTATGAGACTTTTAGCTCCAGTTAACCAGAAAAAGGCTGGAGTTGGGGAGGTGTGGCTCAAGTGGTAGAGTGCTAGCCTTGAGCAATAGCTCAGGGACACAGTCCAGGACCTGAGTTCAAACCCTAGGACTGACACAATCAGGGTGGTCAGATTTCCAGCAAAAATCTTCCACTTTCTTACAGGGGCACAGAAATCCTGTGAATGAAGTGGGGAGGAGGGACTTAACATCTGCACATACACACCTTGCTCTGTTGCACTTCATAGTTTTTATTAGAACATTGATTGTACAGTGGACAGATGTATAATGTACATTCATATTGTGTACTTTAATCAAATTGAGCTTTCTATTAGCCTTTCTTACTTCTTCCTCTCTGATTATATTAACTACCTACCCACCACTGTCTCCTTTCACCTTTTTCCTGTTGGCTTCCATACCAAACAGTGCCCCCTTAACACTCAGGTCATGTTTCCTGTCCTTTTACTTTTTATTTTCCAGAGCTGAGGAACGAACTCAGGGCCTTGCACTTGCCAGGCAAGTGCTCTTCCACTGAGCTAAATCCCCAACTCCATGTTTTCTTTTAGTTAGACATTTCTCATATTTCTTTTTGAGCTTGCTAGCCCTTAGAGTAATACTTACATGATCACCTGGTCCTCAGTCTGCTTATGGACAGCACTGTCTCAGGAGGGAAAGTGGCCCATATCTGCACAATTGGGAAAGGGTCAGGCATCTCCTTGCATCTTGAATGGACTTGTATCCAGGCTCTGTGTTCAGTTTTGTTTCTTCCCTGCTTCATAGCATTTTATCAGTAAAAATCCGTGTTGTTGAATTTGATTGCTGCTGATACAAGGGTGAGCTTTCTTGGATCTTGTATATCATTTATGAGTTAGCGTCTGCTTTCTGACAGGCATCAGAAACATTGTCCTCCTACAAAATATTGTTGCTATCATCTCCTTTCTTGTTTCTCTATATTTGCTTCTTTATAGTGAAGTTTGAGGAAGGGACAGTCTCATTTCCATGATTTTTCTCATCTTAAAATACAAGTGTTTATATGTGCTGTGGGCAGTTGATAACAAATGCTGAGAAGAGCGCATGCCTCTGTGATGCACGTTGGCTATTAAGTTGGCTTCAGTTTTCCAATCATCTAAAACTCCAGCATTCAAGACATAACTGTCATTCTGTTACTTGTCCTTAAATATTAAACTTGATCATAACTCCTCTGCACATATAAATCATTTTGAACACTAAAAATACATGGTGATTTCTCTTCAGCTAGCTCAGAACCTGTTCTGATTGCCTGTCCCCTTTCCTTCCAGGTAGGCACATTTAGGTAGGCAGATGAGGCTACTTAAAAAATACCAATGGTTAGCTGAGTGCTAGTGGCTCACTCCTGTAATCCTCGGTACTCAGGAGGCTAAGATCTGAGAATCATGGTTTGAAGCCAGTCTGGGCTGAAAAGTCCCCATGAGACTCATCTCCAATTAACCACTAGAAAACCAGAAGTGGCGCTGTAGCTCAAAGTGGTAGGGCACTCATCTTGAGCAAAAGAGCTCACGGACAGCATCCAGGTCCTGAGTTCAAGCCCCACCACTGACAGATCATCCCTTTTTTTTCTTTCCTACCAAATTTGTTTTCAGTACTCTTCTGTTTCAGAACATTTGATTAACTACATCTTTTCTTTGCCCTTTCTAGGTTTTGTGGTCTTTGCAACTCTTGTGGTCATTGTGTCCTTGATACTAATCTTTGTGGTAGGACCTCGCCATGGACAAACAAACATCCTCGTGTACATCACAATCTGCTCTGTGATTGGAGCATTTTCCGTCTCCTGTGTGAAGGGCTTGGGCATCGCTATCAAAGAGCTGTTGGCTTCGAAGCCAGTGTTGCGGCATCCCCTGGCCTGGATCCTGCTGCTGAGCCTTGTGGTCTGTGTGAGCACACAGATTAATTATTTAAACCGAGCTCTGGACATATTCAACACGTCTATCGTGACTCCCATCTATTATGTATTCTTTACAACTTCAGTTTTAACTTGTTCAGCTATTCTTTTTAAAGAGTGGCAACACATGCCTGTTGATGATATCATTGGGACTTTGAGTGGCTTCCTCACTATCATTGTGGGGATATTCTTGTTGCATGCCTTTAAGGACGTCAGCTTTAGTCTTGCAAGTCTGCCTGTGTCTTTTCGAAAAGATGAAAAAGCAGTGAATGGCAATCTCTCTAGTATGTATGAAGTTCTTAATAATAATGAAGAAAGCTTACCCTGTGGAGTTGAACAACACACAGCTGAAAATATCTCCCGGAGAAATGGAAATCTATCAGCTTTTTAAGAAAGATACGATTAAAAGGTTAATCTAGAATTCTGTTATAAAGTGATTTTGAGTATCAGAATGTGTCCGAAAAAGCATTGTCTTCAGTGCTTCTCTAAAGACAATCTTTTTAAAAGTTTCATTAATTTGGACCAAGAAATTACTTTTCTTATATTTAAAAATGGTAGTTTAAATGAGGTCACTTAAGATGACCCCAGTTCATGGCTGATTTCTATTAATATTGTATTATTGTAGAGGTATTTTACATTTTGATTCTTTCTCCAAAATCTAAATGCACTAATACAGTTTTAAGTCTATAAAAATGCTTTATTTTTTCATTGGTGATGAAAGTCTGAAATGTGTATTTGTCATCCCAGCCTATCAGTCCCTGACCATACATGACTTTTTGATTGTGCGAAAGAACAAAATTATCCCAATACATTATCCTCTGGTTTACCTTACCTATCAGATTGACTCCTGTTTGGTGAATTACTTTAATTTTGAAATATAAGGCCAAGAAAATCTTCGCTTTACCATTGAAGAAAACTTGTTAGCAAAAGGGATAGGATCCCATTCAAGGTCACATTTGTGGTGTGCCAGCATTGTCTGGTTTCCTGTGTGTTGCATCTGATGGGCTTCTTCAGGAAGATCTCCCCTTGTTCATTGAGTATGCCCTCCATGTTCAGGGCCGAGTCCCACTGCAGCCTTAATTCGTTGGTCGATGCCTGGAATTACCATTTTACATCAACTTTTGTACTTTCATAATGAGGTAATATATTGCAGACCTTTTAACAACACTGGGAAATGAAATCAGAAGACCAGTGTACTTAAGTTAGCTCATAAAAAGACAATGAAACGAAGTCCGGGTACTTAGAACAGACTTCAGTGTTGATGATATGTTATCTTTGTACCAAATATTTGAGGTATATTTTTTTTACTGTTACGTTTTTGTCCTTTAGGAAGTGTTTATGAAAAATTTGTGGAAAATTTCAAATCCATACGCATAAAGACAGGACAATAAACAGCATAATAAGCTGTTTCACATCCACTTAGTTAATAGTTGGTTTTTATAAAAAGTATTGGCAATATATCTTCCAGTCACCATCACCCTTCTAGATCAGAAGCTCAGACCTGTCATGTCTAAGGCTGCATGGTGGCCTATCAGGACTGAGCCTGCCCAGTCTCCTGTGGCAGCAGTGCTCATACCCCATACAGCTCTCTAGGAGCCTCCATTGGGGCAGACCAACTTCTATAAATGAAACAAATCCCTCTTCTACAGCTTTGGTTTCTGGTGGTACTCCAAGAATCTATTACATCTTTTTAAAGCCGCTACCCCCCACTATATTGAGGATAAAACAGGGTCTCAGGTATGCAAGGTCCGTCCTCTACCACTAGGCTCTCCAACGTCCCCCCATGCAACTTTTAATACCATGGGTGTATCTTTACATTTCCATAGATACATTGTATATCTGTCGTACTGTCTTGCCTTGCTTGTAAAAATGGAATTCTCACCTGAGTATCTTCATTGAGAATGCATAGGTTGGCATTAACCTTTTGTAGCACTTGAAATAATGTATATAATTACTTTAATTGGCCTATCATTAAGTCTTAGGAAGCTTGTAAAAATAGTAACTTTTTTATTCTATCCTTCATAGAGTGGACACAAATACCACTCTCAAATCTGTAGGAGAATTGAGCATCGAACCCAAGATTTTGAGGTAAGTTTTCATAAATACTTGTTACAAAGATCATGTAACAATTATTGTACAACAGAATAGTTCTTGTACTTCTCTACCATGCTTGAAGGGACTTTGGTATTCTCCATCGTGGATTTTACATTTTTGAGATGTGGGCTCATTATATGTTGCCTAGGTTGGCCTTGTACAAGCTTCTATTAGCTTCTCATGTAGCTGTGAACACAGGTGTGTGCCACACACCAAGCTTTCCATTCTTAACCATTTTTAATCTATTTTTCATGTCTTAGTAGTAGATTTTTAAAAAACCTAGTATCTTAACCAAGTGCTGGTAATTTTAGATACAAGGCTGAGATCTGAGGATCTCAATTCAAAGTATGTGAGACTCTTCCAGCAAAAAGCTAGAAATGGAGATGGGGTGGCTCAAGTGGTAAATCCTTGAGCAAGAAAGCTTAGGGCGCTGCTGTCCCGAGTTCAAGCCCGACTACCATCACAGACACACAAAAGCAGAATCCTTCCCCTGGACAAAGGTTCACCATTTCCTTCATTCTCCAGTTAGTCACTTAAAAAAAAAAAAAAAAGTGAGGCTGTGGCTCACTTTAGCACAAAACCTAAAGCTGAAGGACAGTGCAAAGGCCCTGAGTTATTACCACCAAAAAATAAAAATCTGGTACGTGTCTTCTGACAGAGCTTATGAACTAACTCGAGCCACAGAAGACAACTTACTGAGCAACCCAGCAGCTGGGAAGGAAATCTGAGGGTATTAGAAATAGCACCCAAGTTTTCCTTAGTCCTATTGTGCAGCACTCCCTTATCCAGACTAATATTTTCCCATACTGGCCTCTAGGTCACAGAGGCCATGGTGTAGAGGTACTTAATGTGCCTCCTTCATGTCCAGAACAGAGCGGTCAACAGCTGTGTGTCTGATTGGCCTGGCTTTCCTTTCATCCCTGTTGAAACCTAAGTATAAAGTTAAACATAAGTGCCAGTAGTAGTCATATTTTAAAGATGTCAAGATTTTGACCTGAACTTGGTCTGTAAGCCTGGATGGAAAAAATACCACCCACTGCTCAGGCCTATCGGGACAGGTTGTGGTGAATGAATGAGCATAGAGAGGTTTCATTAGTTTTATTTCTCTAATCAATAAGTCATACCTTACAAATGAACATTTTTATTACAACCGAGTTTAGTGAAAGCAGGGGAAATAAGTTCATTAGGATGTTTTGAAACACAGACACAAAAGAGGGACAAGGCCAGTGACTTAGAAAAAAGACCGAAAGACCATCAGAACAATCTAAACAAAAACTAAGTAGTTTAACAGTAATTGATACAGGAGTTTAATACAATTAGTTGGTATTAAGTTAATACAATTAGTTGGTATTAAGTTTCTTAAGGGATGAATGAACTCAGCAGCATATATGACATGGCTAGCTGCTTAGAAAATAGGAAAAATTAATTTTATAAGAACATGATGGCATTGATCAGCAGCCAGTGTTTTCAGACTTCCTAATTACCAAAAGCATATACAATTATAGTCTAGAAAAATAAGTCAATTTTATAAAAGCTTTTAGGTCAAAAAGCACCTCCTTGAACAGGTACAGAGATACTGAAAAATAGTCCCTAAAAATTTCCACCCAATGGTTTATGGAAAGATAAACATGCCATCAGAATCACTAAATGCTGTGGGCTTGGTCCCGTCTGTATCCTCAGCTGCTGGCCAGAGACTGATGGATGGGCGGCTGGAAGCAGCGCACGTGCTCTACTGGAGTGCTCTCACCATCCCCCGACTTCAAGTATTTGTCCAGGATGGTGATAATCTCATCATTAAGAATCTGGAACTTGCGGATCCTCTCCACCATCTTTTTCAAAGGCTACAGAATATAGATCATGGCATATTACTATTCACACTTGTACAAGTCTTCACATATAAAAAAGGTCAGGATTTTCTTGGGTCGTGATAGCAAACTATTCATATGCAGTACCAGCTTTTAAATGACATTGGAACAATGAACATATTTTCCACTTAAAATATTTCTCTGTTCATTTTACAGTGGTCAGTGGATTTGTAAAACTTAGCATATTCATTCAACAATCAGCTATTCGAAAATTATGTAGCTGGGCACCAGTGGCTCCTGCCTATAATCCTAGCTACTCAGGACGCTGAGATATGAGGATTGTGGTTCGAAGCCAGCACATGAGATTCCTATCTCCAATTAACCACCAAAAAGTCGAAAATTGAACTGTAGTTCAAGGCAGAGCACTTGCCTTGAACAAAAGAGCTCAAGACAGCTCCCAAACCCCAAGTTCAAGCCCTAAGACCAGCACACATACACAAAAATTATGTGCCAAATGCTGGGACTGGGGCTAGGAAGGTGGCTCAGTGGTAGAGCGCTTGCCTTGCATGCCTGAGGCCCTGGGTTCGATTCCTCAGCACCACATAAGCAAAAAGAAAA